GGAAAAGAAAGAGGGAGAGAGAAAAAGGGAGGGGAAAAGGAGGGAGAGGAATGAGAAGGGGAGGATAATGAGAGGAAGAGAAGAGAGGGAACAGGGAGTGGAAATGAGGAAGGTAGAAGAAGGGGGGAGAAGGAGGGGAAATGAGAAAGGGGGAAAAGAAGGGAGGGAGATGGGGAGGAGAAAAGGGGATGGGGATGAGGGAGAGAGGCAGGAAAGAATGAGAGAACCTTCCTTATGAAAACAAACTAAGGAAATAAAGCAAAAGGGCCCTCTACTCACTTTTCCATTCCTCCTAAACAGAATACAGACATCCTAGGCCCACCTGGGCTGACTCTCAAGGAGATATAGCATGGTCTGATTAGAAGCTCCCAAGGGGCACTGCGGTATAGGAGAGAACAGCGATTCAGTTCCTCTGCTGTTGCCTCGTACTGGAACTTCCCTCAGCAACTGGTGTCTTCCTCACCTGAGAATGTCCACCCACTCCTGTGGCCTTCTCAAAGGCCTGCTCCGTTCTCCCACTGGTGAGTTCCACTTGGGGCCTCCATTTTGTGGAAGAGTCCAGACTGGCCTTCGTTCCAATCTTGGTCTTGTTCCTGGATTCCAAACTTCATAACTATGCTTGTGCTCTGGGTACCTTCATTCCTCCCCCTTAGCTCCTTCAGCTCCTTTGTGTATATTGGCTTCCCTGTTAGGATGTAAGCTCCTCGAGGGCAGGGACTGGCTTTGTTTTTGCTTTGTATCCTCAGTGCTTACTGCAGTGCCTGGCATATAGTAAGTGCTTAATAAATGCTGGTTTCCCAAGCGCTGGCAGGCCCTCCCAAGCTGAAAAAGCTTGAGTCTGGGCCCAGGGCTTGACCCTATGTCTGGTTAGATTTACAGACTCTCAGAGTTGGAACCATACCCATACCTGAGCAAGAATACCCTCTAAAACATAGTCATAAATAACTGTCCTTCATGCGTCACTCTAAAGGTTTTCAAAGCACTTTGCATCTTCTTTGAGGCGAGTGCTACCACAGGATCATAGGGACAAAGCTGGATGGGACCTTAGGGGCCATCTAGACCAACCCTCTCATTTTGCAGATAAGGAAACTGAGTCTCAGAGCTAGAGAGGAATCTTCTAAGTCATTTAATCCAACCTTCCTATTTTAAAGAGAAATAAACTGAGTCTTAGAGCTAGAATGGAATCTTAAAGTCTTCTAGTCTAATCCTCTTATTTTACAGATGAAGAAACTGAGGCACAGAGAGGGGAAGTCACTTATGCAAGTCACATAGGGAGTAAGTAGCAGCACTGGAATACCACACTGCTTCTCATTCGATCCTCACAACAAACGTCTGAAGTAAACGTTGTAGACATCATCCCTGTTTTTACAGGGGAAGAAAAAGCAGCTTCAGGGGCTATGACTTGCATGTGTCCACACAACTAGTGTCATCAGAGGCAACAAATATTCAAACTCACAACTCTTCTAATTCTGCCACCAATATGCTAACCCTTATACCACACTGCCTTTGGATAAATGCTTGTGCAGTCGCCGCCTGAAGACTTCTGGCAATGGAGAGTCTGCTTTTTTCTGGGCAGCTCATTCTATTTCCGACAGCTCTGATTGATAGGAAAGTTTTTCTCAAACCAAATGGAACTGATAACTCTTCGAATTACTTGAAGACTGCTGTTCCATTTCTCTTCCCGAGGCTAAACATTCCCTGGTTCTTCAGAGCAATCCCTGTACAGCCTGGTCACTCTGATTCTCTAATTCTGGATATAACCAGCTCCTTAAAGACATCCCTACAGGGTGGTGCCCAGGACAAAAAACCATTTACCTAATTTGGCCTGATCAGGGGAGAATAAAACTGCACTATCGAACCGCTTGTTCAAGACAATCTGCTTCTCAAGGCAGTTTAACGTAGCAACCCCACCCCCACCCCCGCTTTTTAAAAAAAAGTGTCCATGCTGCCTTCATATTGATTTTAGCACCCAACACTTCCTTCTAGAAAGAATGATTGTGCATTGGATAGCTGGTTTTTTAGTCTCAAACATAGATCTTTACATTTAGGGCTGTTAAAGTGTCAGTGAAGGTTTGCACATTAAAAGTGTTATAAAAGATGTCATTGGAGAGATGTGAATGGAATAGCAGAGGAGATAACCCAAAAGTAAGCCTCCATGTCTATTTCTGGTGCTCCTATAGTGCCAAGGTATCTAGAAGATAACCAGGTGGTTGAGTGGAAGCCCTGTGGAGGATTTCTAAGACAGGAACAAAAATTGCCCAGGCTAAAGGGTGGATGGGTTACAATCTATACTCTCAGAGGGAATAGTAACAACGTTATTGTTCATTCATTTTCAGTCCCGTTCAACTCTTCCTGACCCCATTTGGGGTTTTCTTGGCAGAGACACTGGAGTGGTTTGTCATTTTCTTCTCCAGCTCATTTTACAGATGAGGAAACTGAGGCAAACACAGGGTACAGTGACTTGCCCAGGGTCACACAGCTAGTAAGTGTCTGAGACAGGATTTGAACTCAGGAAGACTCATGTCTTCCTGACTCCATATTCTATCTACTGAGCCACTAGTTGCCCCAATAATAATAATAGCTAGCTTTTATAAAGCACTTTAATGTTTGCAAAGTGCTTTATAAATATTTTATCATCACAGCCACTCTGGGAAGTAGGTGCCATTATTATCCCGTTTTATAGATGGGGTGATGACTGAGGCACAGAGAAATTAGGTGACTTGCCTAGGATCAAACAGTTAAGAAGTAAGTGACTGAGACCAGATTTGAACTTAGGATTTCCTGATACCAAGTCCAATGCTCTAGCCCCTCCTGCTTACTATGTGATGTGGAATATTTATATTCATAGGACTGTTGATCTAGCCACGTGAAATTTTGTCTTACTAGATTCAGTCTGACGTTTTAGGCTGCCAAGATTTTCTTGGATCCTTGTTCAGTTTGAGGATGCTTACCTCCCCCATCCCCCCCACCACACCCC